TACAAGATTTGGTCAAATTTGAAAATGTAATACAGCTCAATGCTTGACAAAGATATCGTGATCAAAATGATCAAAGCTGACACGTCCCGACTGTTGATAGCTAATGTAAATCTGACAAAGTATGAAATATAACATCTTTTCCGTCTTACCCTCAAATACTGTGAACACGACAAACAACAAACAATCATGGAATCCAATTATTATAGTTGTGTTGAACTTTGAATCAGGGAGAAGTTGGAGCAGCTGACTATGTAATTCAAAGGCTAGACGTGTCATCGGGGAACAGTTGAAGTGATCTCGCCCCGCGGCTCCTGTAGAATATAGGGTTCATAGGGTGCAGCCCTCTAAATGGGATAGCGCCTGTGTCAGATGGACTTCCATATCCCACATTTCACCTGATGTCCGCTGAGATTGGCCTCACCCACACAACCGACAACAAATGAATGAATGAGATGTGCAATGGTGGAAATACCCGTAGCCTCACTTCCTCTTCGGTCGTAAACAAACCGCGCGCACCTCTGCTCATTTCACCTTTCCGTGTGCCAACCGTTTTATTCCTCTTTAACACCTGTGTGTTTGGTGTCTGTTTATTATTGTGTGTGTGCTTTGTTTTTTTTTATTAGGAAATATGTCACAGAGCAGGCACATGTTAACCTCCGACAGGTAATAATGATCGGAACAACACGAACACTGGTGAAATAACAATCAGCGCAAACCTCCGCTCTCTTCCAGAATGGAGTTTTTATTCAAATGGACCATATGGGCTGAGAATGGTTGAATTGGGGAGTTAACATGATACATAAATTTTGCGATCAGGCTTGTTATCCAAATGGTAGTGTTCATTTCTATGCACCAATACAGCAGTTAACGAGTCTCATCAACGTCGGTGATCGCAGATTAAAACCACCGCAGCTTGACAGTGTAGCAGCTTGTTGCAAAGGTTAGCCCCCCCCCACCTCCCCCATTTTTGGGGTGGGCGTCTAAGTGATATTTACTGTGAAAATATTGGTATGGCATTAGAAACACACACAGCAGTCGAGTGTACCTGGGCAGATAAATATTTGCGCCCCCCCTCCCCGGGGTCTGGCTCAAATGACACTTTCATTCATCACACATATGCAGAGACTGATGGCACCTGGGTGGTCTGCTCCAGTTTGCTCGACCTGGGACAACAGCTGGACACGGCACTGCCAAGTCAAGTGTCAGCCAAGAGTAGTTTATAACAGCGGTCCCCAACCCTTTTTCATACCAAGAACCGGTGGACCGGTATCAGCCGTATCACTGTCTTCTAGACTTTCTTCTGTGATTATCAGGGTCTGAATGACCGACAGATTATCTTTGAATGAAAACAGTAAAGAGATATGACTAGATCATTTTGGAATGAAGTCAATTAGTAAAACTGAAGTACATGTTTTCACTGTGTCCCACTGAGGCCTGGTACCGAATGATCTACAGACCTGCACCAGTTCCCGGAACAAAACAGTCCTGGCTCAAGTATAGTCCGTTATATAAAAGTCATTCTGATCACACATCGCCACATGAACCAAAAACCGGTCGGAAAAAAAAGGTCCACACTGCTGTGAGGAAACAGGATTTTTCCTGATTTACATGTGAGGCCACTTATGGCTCACAGCCAGTTTTTCTTGTCTGTGGAAGCCAGCAGAGCAGCATCAGCGCAGGGATTAGCTTAGCATAACAGTTTGAGACACTGGTTCCGGCGGCTTAAAAAAAAAAAATGGAAAAGGGATAAAACTCTGGTTTATTAGGAAGACGGAAAGAGACAAGAGATACGTAAAAAAAATGAATAAATCCATGAAGAGATACAAAGTCCAATGTGATTTAAAGTATAGGGTGAGGACACTGTTACACATGGACGTCTCTGTGGTGATGTGGAGGACGGCCAGATAACAAAGACATGAATCAGTTTAATAAAGCTCCAGGTTCCAGTTACTTCCTCGTCACTTTCGACAACATTCCGTGAAGCACTTGCACATCATGCAAGAATAACCTGCTAGCAACTCTAACAAGACCCAGGAGTACCGTTAGTCTTATGAGCAACTCTTGCAAGTTTTGTGCAAGTGTTACTTTGGACGTGTAAGGTATTAGTATTAGTGCTTTGTAAACAAAAAGAACCATAAACAGTTCCACACCCTAACCCTCAGGTTGGGAGTAAAAAAAGCACGTGTGTGTGTGTGTGTCTTACACATGACGTTATGTGGGACTAATTTAAATGATGGGATTATCAGTATGTGACTTTATGTGGGAATAATTTAAATGATGGGATTATCAGTATGGCCAAAGGTTATTGCTGGATTGTTGTCATTTCTGTACGTCTTGATGGGGATTCGTCAAAGAGATCAGAGTCGTTTTCTTCAATGATATTAATTAGTTTACACTGTCTTTAATATATTTGACCACTGTCCTCAGTCCATGAGGCTTCTCTGACCTGAACCTCTGAGAGCTGAGACGGTTTTATCAGCCTGAGCTGCTTCGCAAATAACGATATGTGTATCGACTGTGTTGATAAGTGATGATAAGTTAATGAATGGATAAACAGTGTGCATAATGGATAATCAGATTAATTGCACAAATGAATTGAGGTGATTAACACTTTAATTTGACAGCCCTAATTAGATGTAAAGAATGTGGCCGTCTGATTTTCATCTCTCATGTTCAGTATCAATACATAAAACATTGTAAAGTAGATCATATTTTGAAGAAGAATTAGCTGATTTTTTTTTAAAATTCATACTTTAAGGCTTCAGTATCTAATAGTCATAGAGCCATAAACTACTCAACATAATCTAATCTCTCTAAAACCATACCAACCCCAACACATCCACTGTGTCCTCCACCAACTACGGTAGTGTGAAAATACACAATTCCAAAACTTGAAAGTTGTGTGGCGTGAACTTGGGTTAAGAGTTCGCTGTCTACTGTGTACTCTAATCACCCCCCTGCTGTCAAGAAATAAGGTGTGTTCCTGCAATCAGTGCAAACAAACATCCATCCAGTCTTATCCCTGGGTCACATTTGACAATCAAAAAATCAAGATAGTTCTCCCAGATTTACGAAAAGAGAAAGAAATCTGCGGGGAGTCTGAAGACACAATCAGTGTTCTTAAGGACGGAAAGTTCTTCGGTACTTTCACACCGAACGTGACTTACGTTTGTATGAACATTTGGAGGTTTCACTGAAAACACATACAAACTGCACCATAGAAACACACCTTGTTGGGTTTGAATCACACACACACTCACACACACCCAACCAAAACGACAGATTATTTGGTCATATACGGCACCCTAAGCAGTAAACACCCAACAATAAGATGATAGCAGGTTTTTTAGAATAATCAGCCGAAACTGTGGAAAATGTGTCATTAGTTTATGTGGCACATCTGCATCCGTCCACTTATTTCCCAATCTCACGGTTTATAATGTTGAGGCCCGAGCACCGATGGACAACAAAGACCTGCCAGGAACAGGCTTCAAACCAGCCACCACAGAGTCTGTGCACCATAACTAAAAAAACTGTTTGGCCAATGGGTTCAAAGAGAACGAAGCGACGCCGATAAACAAAATGTTCCCTCCTGGATACTTTTGTTTCTGGGGGGTTCAAGTTGTGTGTGTTTGTTTCTCAATACAAACAAACAGTTAATTTTCTTAACCTCGAATAAAACGTATCAGTTTTCACAGTTGTCTGAACCCCACGGTGGTGTGAGTTTGACTAAAGAACTGCTGCTACAATCTGGGAAACTTATTTCTCCAGGTCAAAAAGTCCTAAGACCCAGGCAAGAAAAAAAAGTTGGGTTCACATCATATCATATGTAGAGTTATTGGAAAAGAAAAGAATTGTCCGGTGCTGGATTGAAACCTGTTGCAAAGCTTCAATCATTTCAAACAATCCTGATGCAAAACTGTTGAAAAATTAGCTCTGTATATTTTCTGTTAGATTATAAAACATTAAACACAGATTAAACACAGACACAGCTCAACGCCTGACAAAGACACAAAGATGAAAAATGTTCCAATCTGTCAAAGAAGAGCCAGAGTCAGAGACGTGTCTAAAAATGTTCAAGTGATTCAAACTGGAGTTTGTATGAGAATATAATCTCCCACTTACATTGTTGGCTTACGCCCCACATATGGTGTATATTTCCTGTACCATAGCATATCTCAGTACTACCCAGTGAAGCGGCCACATCACTCCTGTGAGTATCCTTCAGATTCGACTACATCCTAAAGTATCTGCACCTGCTTCATTCACGTTGCCGTTGGGTTTCCGTTCTAAGAATTGTGGCCGTGACTCAGAAGTTCCTGTGTTTGGAGGCACTCGGAGCCGCATGTCTGACTCCTCGTCTCCCCCTCCCTCCCCTCCTCCGTCTTTGTAAAGTCCTCTGTTCGAGGGCAGGTGGCCGTACTGCAGAAGCCACAGTTAAGGCCTCCAGATAAGGAGGGGCTGGAGATAACCATCGTGCTGCGCTGCCCACGTTGCTCTGCAGCAACGGCGATCTGAAGCCTTATCTGACCAAACAGGCATTCCTCTTTCAATCTCTGTCCCTCTGTTCAGCCGCGGGGCACCTCTTCTTTTTCGCCTTTTCTTTCCACTCCCTCATTTGACCCTCTCAATCTTGCTGTGTGTCCTTCTTTCATCATCCAACCTCCACACAACCAATGAAGATCCCTATCATGGCTGGTTGTTTGTGTGTGTGTGTGTGTGTTTCTGTGTGTGTGTGTGTGTCATTGTGCATTAAACAGCAGTGAGAAGAACCGCTATAAGGCAGGGATTTAGTATGGATTACTGTTCATAGTGTAAGACCTCAACAGAGAAGCTAAGCTAAGCTTCCACAATATGCGCCGTAAATAAATAAAATACAGCTAGGTGTACTTCAGTACTAGTAATCCAAGTACAGAGAAACACATACTTCCAGGTGGGAACACACACACACATGCAGGAATAGCAGAGAAGAAAAAAAAAAAAAAAAAACGTGGACCTACCTCTATGTCGGTTGTATTAATTGTCAAACATTAGCATGGCGTCTTCTATCTGAAAGAAAAAGAAAAAAAGGCACGACTTCAGTTTCTATCAGCACCAATTGTAACAGCAAACAGAAGCAGGTCAGAGCACATACAGCACATGTACACACTACTTTGTAAGCCTGCACACATTATCATCACTGGCTGATGCAAACAGAGCTCAGGAGAAAACACTGTCACAGCGCTGGCAGCATTTTATTTACAGATCAAACTGGAGGCTTGCAGGCCAGCAAGATTATATCTTCTGTCTATCAGAAACAACCCACCGCTACAAACACAAGTGACACGTTCACGGCAGCGCTCGCAGCCTTCAGTACCTGTCTCACCACTACTTCATTTTTCTCTTATATTCTAATACTTTAAAATGTGATGAAATATAACCAATTGCTAACAATAATAATAATAATAAAAAAGCTGCTGTAAGAAGCTAGTCATCATTCTCTGTCTGACAGAGAACAGACGGAGATAAAACCAACACCCTGGTGGACTAATGTGGTAACACTTTCAGTTGTCAAAATATGTTGTTTCCAGTTGTTTTCACCTGAATTATGTCAAGATTTATTCTTGAAATTAAAATAAATTTCATGAAATTTAAAACCTGTTTTGAGATTCAGTCTGATTTATAATAATAATAATATATTAATAATAATATTAAATAATATTATAATTTCAAGAAGTGAGAAAGAGATGACATCATCTCAGGCCTTGTTTTTTGTATTGTATTTATATAAAAGTCCAGCTTTGTAGTGCTGTACAATACACAGTACTGTAGTATGTGTTTGTATTTGTTTATCATCAGTACAACACAATATTTCAGAATATAAAAAAGTGGACTTTTGTATAGAAAAAAAAGGTTATACCAAGGGATGTCTGATTTTAACTTTTTGCAGATTTTGTCTACTGTTTACTGTAGTAAACATCATAAATACAACACAAGTATTTTTTGTAATTTAAAAAAAAAATCATCAAATAATTTTGAAACAATTCTTTACTTGATCTTCATTACCCAGATAGATAGATAAACTGTGATTCATAAAAGTAAAAAATCAACATTAACCAGATCTGCCTGAGAATCCTGTGATGGGCACTGATTCAACATATATGCAACCATAATTTGTTCATTAGCCTCTCCTCAATCTACCGTGGAAAACACAGCTGCTTAATTATAAAATATCATGGAAAAAAACCTGGAAGAAAAATTTTGCAATTAATCTGCCATGACCGTGGCCAAACTCTGAAATATTTGCCTCGGACTCTGGGTCCAAAAGGAGAGAATATAAATTTATTCATTTATGTCAGAGAATAATCCTGGCTTCAAAATCTTTTTTTTTTTTTTCCATCGCTTTTAACAAATAACAGCTGTATAAAGCAGTAGTTTGGTTTGGTTCAATGAGAACTTTGTTTTTTAAAATCTCTGCCATTGTATTTTATTCTTATAATTACAGATTGGCATAAAATTTCCCTAAAATGATCACCTTTGTGTTAAATGTCAACTTCATTAAACCTTAATTCTTACGTTTTATACTTTGACAGTAACAGTAAAATCTTACAGACGTTTTATACTTTGAATCTCATCTTTTCGTCACTGTAAAATCTTACAATAGAATAAAAATTAGAATAAAAAATAGAATAATAGAATAAAAATTAAAAAGGTTCTATTTAGCAATAAACAGGTTGAAGTCCCAGAGTTAAAATAATAAAAAAATAAAATAAAATAAAAAAAGGTGATTTCATCATTAAGACACAGTAAGAACCACGACTCCACATGAGTCTTGTCTTCAATGTGGTTCACGTTGTTGGAACCACTGAACTGATCCTGGATCAGAAACCGACCCCAACACGTACTGTACACATAACAGCAGGTTCAATCACTGACACAAGAGTCAAGTGTCTGGACCGGGTCGGTACTACCATCCATAAAAGTACTTGCCATTATGTGGCTGTATTTTATCATTTTTAATCAAACTGCTGGAATTTAATGGCTCCCCTGACTAATCAGAAAGAAATAATGGTGTCGAAAGGCCTGAATAAAAATGAAAAAGTGAATGAGAAGAAAAACAAGACTGTCTGCGACCATGAGTTATAGGACCTTCCCTGGGTCACCTTTCCAAACAGCCGCCTCCTTCCCTGTGTAAATAAACTCTTGTCAGTTGCCAACAGGAGAGATTATTTTGCCAATACTTTACTGTTTTGGTAAAAACCAAATGAAAAGATAAGGGACCGCTGCGGAACTGGACAAAGAAGGAAACCCAGGCCTTGAAGACAAAAGCCTATCTATCACCTCCATGCCTGCGCTTTATCTCGCGGCCACTATTGAACTGAGAAAAGAAACGTCTCACCTTTATTTAAACGAAGAAAAGTGATGTTGATAAGAGTCCTTCATCAAAACGAAAAAACACAACCCGGCCTTTGAGAGGCCGCTGCTGATTTTCAAACCTCCACACCAAACTGTATCTCTCCAATGTAGGCCACTTTAATAGACCGCTATAGCACATTGGTTAAGATTGCTCTGTGTGTGTGTGTGTGTGACAGTTCATGTTCTAGTATACTTGTGGGGACATTTCCGAAACATACTCTGTTGCGGGGACATTTTTGCAGGTCTCCATAGAGTGAGAGGGTAATCTGAGGTTCAAGGTCTAGTCTTGAATTAGGGTCAGATTAGAGTTAAGATTAGGGTTAGGATTAGGAATATATATATTTGTAATATTCAGGGTTAGAATAATGCAAGGGAACGTATTGAGTCTTTGAAGGTGCTCACAAAACACATAGAACAGTATGAGTGTGTGTGTGTGTGTGTGTGTGTGCTGGTTGATTATAAGCACAGAGCGCCTCATCATCCACTCACCTGTTGAGTAAGTGGCTCAGCTCTTCAGCTGTTCATCATCTGATTGTTCCACTTTCTGCCTGTTACAAACTCAGCCATCCAGTAACTTTTTGTTTTCTGAGTTTCTGCCTATTTATATTTCTTTCTTTTTTTTTTTTTTTTTAAATTTTATTCTCACTTCACCGCTCGGTTGTTACCATGCAAAGCACCATTAACTGTCACTCGTCTCCGGGTTAGCAGCTACGTGGGTCCAATTAGTGACAGTCCCTTAACGCCGTTGTCCACCAGATGTGATTCTTCACATGGAATGTTCTGTCTATGCAGACGACACACATTTCTCTCCTGTATTCAATATCTGCAGCTTTTACAGCAGTGAGAAATACTCACTGGCTTCTGTTTATTCACAGAGAGAGAGAGGGAGAGGGAGGTAAATGTATTCAAAGTGTTGCCTCTGACAGAACACCACCAACCAATAACAATACATGTCGTTGATAAGGGGACGAAAGAGAACAACTGGGAGTGTTTAAAACACAAACATTGATCTCATCTACAGACTGACAGATGAACTGAAGTCTGAAATGAGAACTGGTGTTCTTAGTTATTGCTATTATACAACAAAGAATGCATTTTGGAACAACTCCGACACAATAGCCAAAGTAAAGAATGCATTTTTGAACAACTCCGACACAATAGCCAAAGTACAGCCTAGATCGGGCGTTGGTAAACTTTTTGACTCTCTAAAATCCTAAAATATTTTAGATTTGACATCTACTGGGGAAATGTGGGTATTGCAGGTGAAAGGCAGAAGCATAATGATAATATAAATCAATTGTATAATTTGGCGCCCCTGATTAAAGAGCCGAACGGGCCACATCCGGGCCCCGTGCCGTAGTTTTCCCATGCCCGGCCTTTTCTCCTCTTGATGATAAATATTTTTATGTCAAAATCATTCTGATATTTCAGTAGAAGCCAGGAGCCAGCAGAAACAGAGAGGCGATGAGATATGATATAAATAATGGAGCTCAATCACACAGTCGAGGCTGAAAAACACTGATTTTTATTCAGTGGGAAAATATCGCAAAAAAATATACAAAAGTTCTTCAAACTTTGAAGGTTAATGGTTTAAGCAAAACTGAGAAACATTTGATGGTTTTTCTTTATCTCTGAAGCAAACACTCAGTTAGAATTTTGTTTTTCTTTCTTCTTTCTTACTCAGTCAGTAAGAATTTTGTTTTTCTTTCTTCTTTCTTCATGTTTATATTTTTATTTTTTTAACCTATTTTAACTCTTAACTGTTCTAGGTTCCTCACAAAACCCAGGTTATGGTTCACCAAGCAGCCAGAACCATTAAAAACTGCTCAGTAAAACAGTAAATGCCTCAAAATCACTAAAGAGCTCTTGTGTTCAAACGGTACAATTTGTCATCTGCAAGCCTGTTTTCCTGAACACCCCCCATTGATTAGAGGGCTTTTTCCATCAATGCTACCAGTGAAGTCCATTTTCGCTCCACTGTCACACTGTAGAGACACACACACTGACACTTCTTTAAAAGTAAACTGGAAAATGTCCATTATTTTAAATCAAAGTGAGTGCTCTCCTTAGATGCCTGTGAACGAGTGTGGGTATAGAGACACCAGTGGCGGTGAAGAACCAGTTGCACCTGACCGTCTCCCTGCAGCTGCCAACCTAATGAGACTTGCTACAGAAAACAAGCTATTCTCCAGGGAAGGCTGCCTTATCCCAGCTGTCAATCACCATTATGGCTGTGATGAAAAGTGCAGCAGCAGGTGCACAGGAGAAGCTCGACATCATTGCTAGCACACATGTGGAACCTGAATCCTTTTAGAAATCCCATCAAAAAGTTGATTGCTGCAGTGACATATGCAGTTTGAACAGTGTAATAAGAAAGACAGAAATTCTGCACATGTTCTTAACACTGGAGGATCCATCCTGGTACAGATATTGTGGGTTTGTCCACAACCAACAAAAAGGGCGGAAAAGTTGATTTTTTTTTGTACCTCCTCCTCCCTTTCCCCTTCTGTGGTTAACGAGACAGGACATGCACGGCGGTCGGAGCTTTAGCGGTTGGGTTTTCCCTCTGCTGCATTTTAAAGATACAATATGCGATGTGCATGTCAGATAAAAACAAAGCAATTTTGACAGCCAGCCAGTGAACTATCACGAAT